CTGCCCGTGAACTATACTTTCCAGTTGATTACTTTATATTAGCCTAATATAGATAATCCAAACTTACAGATGGTACTCACTGTGCTGAGCGCCGACCCTATCATTAAGAAAACATTTTTCTCGAAATTTGGCCGGACAAAATTTCCGATCATTTCAGCATTTGGTTGGAAAAATCGGAATTTGGTCTGAAAACCGCCGGCCGTTATTTCAGGCTCTGCAATATCCCTACAGCAGGAGAATGCTAGAGTATATATATCCGGATAAAAGTATTACTTTTGTACGAGCTGTCGAGCTGTATATTAAACTGTAAATATCAAGATTTTATTGGCAGTGGAAATTTATGCACATTCATTAGACCTAACCGGGAACAGCTGCGAAGCCATGAAGTTGCATTGATGCACCCTACTTTCAATATTATTTTACTCTGTCTAACACCAGACTATTTAACGTCTCTGTCCACCAACGTACACCAAACGATTTTACTAGTCCAGTAGGGATGGATCTATACCGGTGGGATACACGGGGTTGTGCACCCTCCTAGTGGTGTCCAACACCCCCTTGAAGGAAACTCTGGTATAATTACATATTTGGGTTGTAAATATTACTTATTATATTGATTTAACAATTGACTTTGGAATATGCGAAATGTAATGTAGCACTTTTCTTAATTTTTGCTCGAAATACAAGCACTGTGAAGAAAAATATAACAAATAAATGTAGTGCTCAGAATACAGGAAATGGCATTGGGTCGTTACAGAAAAGATCCATACTCCCCCCACGGAGGAAATTTCTGCCGTCTGGAAGGCGAGGGGAGAAAAAATTGTTTCTGATAATAGTAAATGTATTAGGACATGTGAAGGGGGTAGGGGGTAATTTCCTCTGTGGGGGTGGTATGGATGTTTTCTGGAATGACCCATTGCAGGGCTTCGAATTTCAAAATTTTTCTTGGGGAAAATGCTCCCCCCCCCCTGGAAAACATCCACAACCTGTAACAAATCATGCCAGATCTGCCCTTGTTTTCAAGGGCAGAGTGCTGGTGCTCAGTGGGTTAAATACGTACATGGTGTATAGATGTCTGGCAGTCATTAGTATTCATTATAAAAGTAGCTCATATTTAAGTCTAGCAATATAAAAAGGTTATTTTGCAATGACTTTCTGTCAACAATCTGGTTAGTAGCTCACCGGTTAAAGCATGTGAATGAGTGTGTTGTTTTAGGGCCATGTGCTGGTTTGAACCAGATTCACATTGTGGCTTTTAAGCTATAATGAAAGCTAATGAACTAAACCTTCATTTAGTACTCTAGCAGTCATGTACAGTACTGTTCAGAAAAGCAAGCACTAATGATCAGGTTTTTTCTCAATAATAGGTCTTACATTCAATTCAGGGTACTTCCCGAAGTCAGTGCACACAAGTGATAGCCCAATCAGAAGGCGAGAGACGAATAGCAGAAAAAATTCAATCTAAGCTCAATGTTTCCAAAATCGAGGTGGAAGATATCTCAGGTATTTCCTTGCTTTACTTTCGTCAGCATACCTGTACTCTCGTACTCAGCATGCCTATACTCTCATACATTTCCCAATCCTGCAACTTTAGGGTGTTAAATAATTCAAGGATTTTATCATTCTGTACCTCACCGGTACTCCATTGATTATTATACCATACTTAAGCTATGAAAGCAGTGGCGGTTAACTATTTTTGCCGCTTGCAATTAGGGCAAATTAGACACGTTGCCCGGAATAAAATTCACTTGCCATCAGGTCTAATTTTGCCCTCACCTATTAGCAAAATTTGAAGTAAATGATTTGCAGTAAGGATTGATTAATCACCATTTTAATCTTATGTTTTCCTTAACAAAGTCATTTGAAGACTTGAATCATGAAGTGTTAACTTCAGTTGATTTACTAATAAAGAACCATATTAAAAACAGAATGCGTAACATAAACAAGCAAACAATTTTATAGCAGTTAAGTTCTGGCAATTAAGTTCTGGGGGCTTCGGTGCTGCAGTCCTCAAAGCAAGCGCCTTTCAACTCTGAGATTATGGGTTCGATTCTTGCTATGGACTCATGTGGGGGTAAAGATCTACCTAAAATGATGTTTTGTGATCAGAAACAAAAATGATCATTGTTCATGACTCGTTCTTTAGAAAGACAGTTTTTATAGTTTTATTGTCTTTCATTGTTGTAATCAACCAACCACGGGCCTAGATAGTATAGGTAGATGATGACCCCTCATGTGTGGACGCATGTGAAAACTCAACGCTCTGCCAAAAGTCGTGGGTTTTCTCCAGGCGCTCCAATTTCCTCCCACAGGGAAAGTTTACAGGGTGGGTTAGGATAACCATAGTTAGGGAAGTACTAGCTGTAATATCACAATTGTTGTAATAAAATAGTCTAAGCTTAGTAGGTAATATAAGTAAACGTAATACTTGATGTAATTGGTCACTGAAAATCCCCGATGGGAAGTGAGCTAAATAATAATAATCATCAATACTACTTCTACTTGCTCGTAATGATTTTTACTTGCCTTGCCAGCAATGTACATTTACTGCTAATTTACAGAGTAACTTGAAACTCAAGGTGTACCCTTGTCCACACAATCCAATTAGTCATATGCGATTGTCATTCTGCCGTATAAAAAATACCTGCTGGCACCACAACTCCCCTTCATTTAGTTCACAAGACAGGGAGAATTCAAATTTCTTTGGGCGTCTTTACTCGATTTTTATATAACACCTATGGTCACATGATATTGAGTAAAAATTCCCATTTTACTAGGAGTGCAATGGAACTTTATTAATAATTATACCGTTTAAATTGTTATATATAGTATGTAATGTACATCTAAAAACAGTAAGTGATGCATCCATACAGCTTGCACAACATATCTATACAACAAAGTAGATTTATAAAAAAGATATATACAAAGAACTATGTTCCTCATTCCATATTCCGGGAGGATCGATATATTCGCCTTCGTCCAAAGACGATTCATCAGCGCTCGATTCTGATTGGCTTTCAGCTTCAGAAAGAGGGGCGGTCACCACAATTTCCGGAACATTAATAACTACAGATTTCGGTTCGTCTTTCATACCAATGCTTGTATCTGATAATGATGACTTCTCTGTGTCCTCAGAAGGAGGGGCGGTCACCACAATTTCTGGAATATCGATAACTACAGATTTTTGTTTATCATTCATACCAATGCTTGTATTTGATAAACATGACTTCTCTGTTTTACCAAATACTGCGATAGAACTTTTGCGACAGACTTCTTGGAGCTTTGGCTCCTCTGCTGAATTCGCAGCGAGTTGATCAACGTTTTCTTTATCATTCTGTTTCTTGCATTGTCTGTGCAATTCAAATATGTAAAAATGAGTATATTAATGTCATTTTGTGATAGAATAGAATTTTACTTTGGTGAGCGATTGAGATACAAGGGAGTTTAGTGGGGACAAAATGATTGGGTAAGGGTAGGAAAAATAGGAAGATAAAGAAAACAACAAAGTATGGATCAGAAAATAAGAAAAGAAGGGACAAGGGAATAGTGATGAATTGGCGAAAGAGAAAAGAAAAAAGAAACAGTGAAGAATAAAAGAGTGAAAAGAATATATTGTTGACCAGAAATAATGAAAAAAGAAGAAAATACGGAAGAATTGAGTGGTCATTAGTCAATGAACGAATGCTTTATCTTATCACGGTAACATGCATCAGGATTTACGTATATATGTATAAAGTATTGCGAAATTACAGTTTAAAATATTACACGGTCACACTAATAATTACAAATATATACTATTTAATTTTCCTAGCAATTATATTAATATAAAACACCATCTTGTTTTTCATGAGTGCCGTGTAATAAAAAGTAAAAAGTTGAAATAGCTACTGCAACACATTTTCAATTCACCCTTGAGTATTTGCTTTCCGCAACTCGGTTGGAAAGCTGTTCCATAGCTGTCCCGCTCCACTATAGCCAAAGCTAATTTTTAGGTAGTTGGCATGGGGCCTAGGAGTAGCTAGCTTGCCCTCAGTGTCCATCAATGAGTAGTTTGTTATACTGCTACGCTTCACAAATATGGGCTGCAAATAGTTGGGATCTAGTCAATGAAGTGATTTGTATAAGACCACACCTATTAACCTTTTGAAACTGTGCCTGGAGTCAAGTTTCCTCCAGCCAAGTTTCTCAAGAGAGAGAAAGGAATGAGAGAAAGAAAGAAAAAGGAAGGAACAAAGGATCGATTGATAAAAACATGCAAGAAAGAAAAGGAAAAAAAAGAAACATGAAATTATGGATACATAGATGAAAAAAAAAGTATGTCTGCATGCATAGCAAGAATCCGAATGGGAGCTAGAGAGTGGAAGAAAGATGAAAATATGAAAGAATGGTATGAGGCCAACAGCACATGTAAAAACGTATATGGATAAACATACAAATAGGATGGTAAAACAGGCATGGTGAGCCGCAATTGGGAGGATGAAAGTACATGTAAGATGGTAAACGAGACATGTACTGCATGATGCGTAATAATAAATAGAAAGTATAATAAAGGTAAAATAGAAATGGCCCCTTACCTAATGACAATATACAGTAAACTTCCCAAGAGAAAGGTTCCAATGACCGTAATGAGTAGAGCAAATATTGCGCCGTGCATGAAACATGATGTTCCAAAGTTTTTCAACATTTCACCGAAGAAACGAGCTAAAAATAATATTCTATTTAATATCAATTTTTTTTAATTCTCCGCTTTAACGAATCAGTTTGTAATTATGCTAATATGTACTTGTACTATTATTGGGATTACTGCTGTGTTCTTAAACAACCCATTCTCTTCTTTTGTGTGATGATATATACATCATACGGTCATCCATGAATCGATGATGTGCATCATCATACACGCTTAGTTTTTTATTTATGAGGACCTGACCCTCATCCCACCCTAACTCCCCTATCCTAACCTGGGAGTAGCCACTCACGCTAACCGGGGAAGGATATGTTGTCTTAAAAGTGATTAATTCTATTCGTACCTGGGCATGCGTACCACATGCACGACTTCTCTTCGTTCTTGGTGTTGTTATTGTCGTCTGCGGAGGAAAAAATAGTGTTAGTTAAAGTCAGGCTTTCTTCCCATCTTACTCTTCCAACTTCTCTTCTAGCTACTTAGCTACTTTTCCGTTTTAAAATTACTTGATCTTTTTTTCTCATAAAATCCTACTTTTTAAGACAGTTTGGGAATCATTAATATGTTATTGCCATATCTCTTTGCTTCTGTACTGGACTCTTATATTTCTATTCGTGTCTCCGATGATATGTCTTATGTGTTTGGATGACAAGGAATATATTTGGATTAGCAACATTGTGCAGTAAATGCTTTAGTACAATCTGTAATCTATTTCAACAACGTATAATGACCACATATATCCTACTACTGGAGTAAGGTTGGCTGCAGGAGGGAAGGTCAATTATTTTACATTATATTTTTTTGTTATTTGCATCTCCAAAAATTCCTACTCTGTTCTATATTTCCTGAAATTCTAATCCTATACTTTTATGTTATCCCACCCAGCATGGATTGTAAAATAACTGGATAGGAAACTTCCTGACGTCATTGACTGCATCCTTGTTGAAAAACGTGACGTCACGCGTATTGCGAATGTTACCAAAGTTCTCGGCATTTTTGTTGTTTTGCTATATTTTCCACTTTAAAAGGGTGATATTGAAGCATAAACTGGTCTAATTGTTTTAAAAACATGCCTAAGCCACGACAAAGTATTCAAGGTAAATGTTTTTCGTCTTTGTTTTGTATTTTTTTTACATTTGCAGCTACGAAATTGGCGTCACAAAGTTTAACGAAATTTGCGATGTATTTTTCACTGTTTAGTGCTTGAAATATTTGCTAAAATTGACTGGGAATACTTAGAGTTTTCATCGTAGAATGGCGTGCTTATATTTATTTGCTCTTTGACTAAAATGTTTAGCTGTATTATTGCTAAACATGCCGTTTTTGAGAATTTGGTTTGCAACTAGGTTGAGGCATCCAACCACGCCATCAGCCCATTAAAAACATTAGGTCACGTCAGCTAGTTTCCTATCCATTTATTTTATTATCCATGCACCCAGACACATCACATTGCTATATATGCATGAACCTGCAGTTAGAGCTCGACAACTGGACTCTGTAGCTCAGTTGGTTAGAGCGCTGCACCGGAATCGCAGTGGCGCAGGTTTTATTCCTGCCTGCATGTGGACCTATAGTTGCATTTTTCGCAACTGCTCCTGGTCAGGTCTAATAAGTGTATAGAATTTACACTGGAAATTTCCGTCTACAAAATCTTCTGCAATTTAAATTGTAACTAACTCACCAAGTTCTTCATAAGCGTCGAGAAATACAGACGCGGTCAAGTTACCACCATCAGCGCTCACTTTTACCAGTCGTATTTCGTATGACAGATCTTTCATGACGCCGAGTTGAGCGCTGAATGTTGCACGGTCAGTCTCCCAGCCAAGCTCTGTAGTCTCCATTGTGATGGATATGAAATTCACCGCGGCTTTTCGCCATTTCGCGTACATGGCTGTTCCTTTCGGTCCGTAGTTTGCCCGTCGAACGATCAAATGGAATTCGCTACCGTACGATGACCTCCATGTCGCTGTGGCAGTGCTGTTGGTCCGCCATGTCGCGTCGACTTCCAAAGCACTTCGATTTTGCGCTGAGGAAAGAAAGAATATTAAGTTGAAGTGTAAACATTTTCTGTCAAAGCTTTCCTCGTCTTTGTTTATATCATTAGCATCAAAAACAAAGGAAATTTCGTGGAAGTAATTTGCGAAATAGTGGGGAATTTCTGGAGACTATAAAAAATTCTCCAACTTGCAGCGCGCAAAATTTTACCGACCCCAAAACAGGCCAGTAAGTCAGTAACACTGACCTGAACGTTTAATTAATTATAGAAATAGCACGAATTCTACGCCCTGTTTATCAATAGACACATTTTCTCGACAGTTTTGCACTTTTGGCGCGAAACGCAACGAATATGCTGCAAGCGCAAATTTGTTCGCACGCTAGCCATGCAATTTCACTTCTTGCGCCCGCGCACGATCATAACACGTCACAATCCTAATAAAAATAGTATGTAATTAAAAATTGCAACCCTCCTCTTTTATGTGTCAAATTGTCTCGAGCATAAAATAAAAGTTGTTCTTTGTTGAAGTTAAAACGTAATTAGAACGCTTATCAAAGCTTTGTGTTGTTAATCTAGAGCTTAAAATGTCCCCAGTAACAATGCGTGTGACTGCCAACTCTCATTCTCGTTAGACCGGAACCTAACATCTTAGAGTCTGTTTATCATGATCCCGGATTGTTGGAGAGGATGGAAGACGGGATTACTAGGCCTAAACGAAACTTAAGTCGCCGGTTAAAAGAACTCAAATGTTGTCAACCGTGTTTATAATTATAATGTTATAAAATAATCTATCACTGGAAAAATAATGTAGTTTACGGTCGGACGAGGATGAGAGTTGCAACTCTCGCTCGCGTTTGACTGGCCAACTCTCATCGACTTTCATCAACTTTGAACTGGTTCAAATTTTGATGAGAGTTGATGAGCATTTTCGCTATACGCGCGCTTCAACTCTTGTTCTCGTTTGGCCGGGGCACGAGAGTTGAGAAAATTCTCGTGCAAACTCTCGCTTCTCAACGCTCGTCAACTCTGACCGAGGTGTTAGTTTCAAACATCTAATCCTATTAAGGATTCAAACTGGAAACGCCGTAGAAATTCACATAATAGTTGACAGTAGCATTGTTTTTGAACATTGCCTAACAGCGCATAAAGTTCTTGTTAAGAACAGTATAGTGTTTGAAAAATGAAGAAAAACTAAGTCTCACCTTGATATTGGCATTTGTCGCCATAAAAATTTGGTCTGCATACACATTCGTAGCCGCCGTCCACCTCCGGCGTTGGAGCGAAGATTGCCCGAACTGGGCATCGAGCTGCAAAGCAGTTGTCGATTATAATACAAAGAAATATCAGCAAGAAAGCTTCGAGCTTCATTGCGCTTATCACTTGTAGAATAAGTTTTGCTATAGTGACATCATAATTGTGTCGTAATTAAAGTAGTGACGTAATTCTCATCAGTCCTTGCGCAAATTCTATCGCGCAAGCTCACTGATCTCCAGTGAGTGAATGTAACTGGAACGATAGCTGGCAAAGAAAAGTGAAGCAAAATTAAAATATCAACACCATCAAACGTAATTGTTTTCGCAAACGTTAACGTTTAAAATAAATGAAACGCATTCAAAAAAATATGTATAATAAAATGTTTTTACGAATTTCGCAAACTTTTGATCTTTTTGTGCAAGCAGAACACTATTCATTTTTAGTGTAAAGTTACTTCGAAACTTTATTTGAGTTGCGAAAATTCAAACGAATAGTCATTCATTCATTCATAGTGTAAACTACCCGGGGGGTGTATACGATTTATGTTTGTAGTGATTTATTTTATTTATTTCTTATTTTCAAAAAAATTATTTCTTATTTACAAGTGCTATGACTAGAAACCTGCTAAGAAGCTTAACATGCTTTTGATTTTGGCCTTACCGAAACAAACTGCACCTTGTGCTTATATTATGACTTTAATAATGTCTGTTTAGGTCTGTTACAGGTAAACTACGTCAAGCGTTCCTCTTTTGAGTTTCTGACTTGATTGCAATTTTCCGCATTATACCTTTGCAAACATGAAAAACTCCCTTGCAAATCCCTTGAGGGAATTTGCAATGTTTCTAAAAGCCAATTAAATTTTCTTCAATTCTTGTTAGAAGTTCTTAACTTCCTGGTACAAGTTCCTAACTTCCTGTTCTGTTACGTGCATTGTAATTGGCTACCAATGACAACGCTCAGAACAGAACAGGAAGTCAAAACAGGAAATTAAAACAGGAAGTTAGGAAAATTTTGAAAGGAAGTTTCTCTGCATTGGAATACCGCAACAGCCGAAAGGAACATTGCAAATTTCCTTAAGGGATTTGCAATGGAGTTTTTCAAATTTGCAAAGGAAATGAGGAAAATTGCAATCATGGTATGACCTCAAAAGAGGAACGCCACCAGTCGGAGTTAGGGTGGGGTCAGGGATCAGCCTTGATACATTATAATAGGGGTCACACGAAGTATATACCCGGTGCAGCGCTCTAACCAACTGAGCTGCAGAGTCCAAGTGTCGGGCTCTAACCTCAAGTTACATCCTGGTTAGCTGGGCTTATACCTTCCAAAATAGAAAAATGCATAATGTCGGAATCGAATTCCGGTTTCAAAGATGAAGGCGAAAGACAAACGCAACAACGAACTTTAGCAGCCTTATAAACACAAACTTCAAAATTCTTTGTTCTTCAAAATACTGTAACCCCTAACAAACTACGTATCAAACACAAAAATCCATCGCCAATCATGGCCAATCAGAGGGTCCAACAAAAAACCCAACTAGAATCGAATGCCCTTCTTCAACAGTCCGCATTGTTAGCGTATGTTTCCCAGGTTCCACGTGGGTCGATAACATTACAACAGCGTTCAGTGATCCTTGACGTAGAAGACGTACTCTCACTCGTTCGCCATAACGATCATCTATCCACGCTTCGACTGTTCCACCATTATAACCATAACGTGATACAAAACCAACTGAGCCTGTTGAGAGGGAACCTTCTGAGGTCTGTGATGCAACTGCAAATAAGACTGTCACTTCGGCGTTAATTGCAGTTGCAAGGAGACCACTAAATGCATCCGTGCGTGCCACAGTTTCTGCAGAATATGAGCTCCCACCCATAACTCGTTTGGTATACTTGAAACCTAAGCTTTTTACAAGAGTTAAACGTAAAGTGTTATGGAGAACGGTTTCTTTGTGGTTTGATGTTAGATCTGCCCAACATTTTGGTGACCTAATAGTACTGGCCTCACCTTTGATATATACTGGCGAGGGTAAGGGAGGGATTTTAGAACTAAGTGCGTTGAACCAGGATGCTGAAAGATCGCTTGCCGTAAGTCTGTTCATATCTTGTGCTATCTTTGTAAAGGTCTTTGAAATCACGTGGATTATCATAAACGCGACCTGCGCATGCCCCAATAGCTTACTATGCCAGCCATCTTTATCTTGACCCGTGCTTGTGTCGGCGTAGTATTTACCGTTCAATAAGCGGCAAGATACACATCGTAAATGAATTGTAGTGATTCCATAAAGTTCAGAAATTAAACCTTGGCCATAGTCTACTAGATTTAAACATCGAGGGTTCTTTTTGCTCGGCAATATGAATAGATTTACATAGAAAACAGCGGGGTTATTGGGGCGTTTGAGTAACTGCCTGGTGAACTGCTCAAGCGGTAGACTTTGACTGACATTTGATGCTCCAACAACATTATTCAGTACATCGTTCACAGCAGTTTCAAGAATCGCCAGATCAATATTTTCATTTTCTTCTAGGTATATCCCGTGGCAGAATTGGTAGTAACTGCTTCCTGTTCCGCCAATGCCAATGATCTTTAAGTTCAACTGAGATCCGGATATGGGCTTGATAACTTTACTCCACCAATCACGTACGATGACAGGAAACATGCCCTGGGCGCTATTTGAACCGCCATAAATAACGACATTGATTGCCTCTCCTTTTAAAATTTTCAACAATACAAACTCAAGTCGAAGATTTTCATGGTTTTCGATACACGAAGACACATTGTATGAATGAATTCGTAGAGTTTCCAACGTTGGGTAGCGATCCTTGACTAACCAAACTGACAATGGATCCACCGTCGCCATTGTTTTGTCAAGCAATTGAATTATTTGAGTGACTTTGTTAACATCACCAGTTTGGCCAATTCGTGGCTGTGTTAATATTGTTGACTTTTTAAATTTTTCTCGTTTAATTAACATTTGTACCGATGATTGTAAATAATAGAACCAAACAAACAACTGAAGAACCTGTTGCCTATAAAACATTATTTAAAATATGAATAGAAACCAATGGCGTTCTACAAGAATAGTTTATAAATATAAACTGGATACATCTAGAACATTGTACAGTTTATATGGGAGATTATAATCAAGAGTTAACAATCAGGAAGATAGTCACATAGCAGGTTAATGTATTGTTGCATTCTTGAAGCACCTGCCGAGCGAGTGATTTAAGGAGAAGTTAACAAACTGTTTCAAGGTTTTCGCATTGTGCAAAAGGAAGGACGATGTTAAATGGCTCAATGTGTCTTATTAGCATAAGTAAAGTGAAAACATTATTTCAGGAAGGAAAAGTATTAACCATATTGCAGCTGTCCCACAAATGTCACAGTTCTGTCTCGACGGCAGTTGTGACAGGCTAAAAACATATCGTGACGGTTATATTTTAATGGAACAGAAAAACGACAGCGTGGCAACAGTTTTGCGACAATCTGGGGGGGGGGGGGCAAAGGACCGTGTTTGTATTTTTTAAACTGCCGCCAGCTGCTTACACGATGCCTGGATACGAAATTAACTTGCGACAGTGTCACGACAGTTTACATTACATTATTATTCAGCTCACTTCCCATTGGGGCTTTTCAGTGACCGATTACATCAAGTATTACGCTTAGACGGCTTAGTTATGTTACTTACTTAGCTTAGACTATTTATCTTTACAACAATTGTGATATTACTTTCCTAACTGTGTTTATCCTAACCCACCTTGTCAACAATGGTTATAGAAACGCGCTTTTCAGTTAATTAACGCTCGCGTATCATAATATTGTACTTTATTTTGAAATTAAAAATAACAAAAATTAGAGGTTGGCGACCCTTAGCAGGTCGGGCGGGGACGCTAAAGAAGTAGTTATTTTTATGTGACCTGATACCAAAAATATTTTTTTAATCCAGGGGGCTGTGGCTCAATGTACAGAATATTTGTAGCAGCTGCTGAATTCCAAGGAAAACGTACAATACAACAACATAGAATCATTAATGATGTGAGTAATTTCTTTGTTAAGAAATCCGATTTTTGATTAGCCTGCGAATAGGCTCTCAAGCTGAATTGAGAGCCTGCATCGATGACTAATGAATTTGAATATCTGCCCCGTAACGTTCGTTTTTCCAAATATGGAATGTCTATCCTTATATGGTGTTGTTTACAACTTTCGTGCGAACTAAATTTAGACCGTGCAAACTAAATTTAGACCGTACAGTTTATACTGTTTTTCGAAATATAAGATATTCAAGCAAAAGTTTAAATGTTTTAAATACTGTTTTCTCAAAACAGAACATTTCGTGCTTTGAGATAAGATGGCCAAGACCAATTTGATCAGTTTTTTATGCATAGTTAGCAGTTGACATATATAGAGCTCAGCTGAAACATATAAATTATAGCATCTGACCAATGGCAATGAGAATTTCGCGTCACGATTTGAGACGCAGATATTCAAATTCATTAGTCAACGATGCAGGCTCTCAATTCAGCTTGAGAGCCTGTTCGCAGGCTAATTTTTGATGTGTGCGATATTGATTATAATATTATTTGCATAATGCTATCAAGAAAAGCTGCGAACGCTGCCTCAGTCTAAACTTTTAGTATGATGTATAATATATTCACACATACATGTGTACAATATTCAAACACATGTGTAGAAAGGTTTCATCATGCAAGAAATATTTTTTATTGCATGCTGGTGAAATAAGTGCATATGAGACAACCAATTCAAATTGGTTATTTTAACCAATCTGTTTTTACAGTTTCGTTCAGCATTTGTTTGGTGCTCATCAGGTTTCTAAGTGAGGGAATAATGTTAATTCATTTTATTATATGAATAGCGGTACCCCCGCCCTCGCAGAACTGTTCCGATCAGGGCAGAAAAGTGTGCGTGTCCCGGTAAGGTCCGAAGGCGAGTATTTGAACTGACTTCTAAAACGTTGTAATTTACATAATTACAAAGTATTACATGTAGTTCTAGAAATGCCGTTCTGGGGACCCAGAAATTCAAAATTTATCTGGGAGAGCAAGCCCTCGGTACCCCTCGCACCATTGGCCATCAAAATCGACGGCCATTGATTGTTTTGTTCAAAAAATTGACGCGAGTCATTCAGAAACCTCAAAAGTTTAGTAATCTATAGGTTTTTACGTTTTCTGTAGATCTTGCAAGACGAAGTGAAAGACATGCATGGATTGACATTACAAACAACATCTTCTTTATGATAGAAACTAAAAGTGAAAGGTGCAATTTTGCAGTGATATGCTGGCAGTCCGATCGATAAAGCCCCCATATACAGACGAGCAAAGTTTTCCTTGACAAGTTTCTTAACTTGTTTACTCGCTCGTGTGTAACGACGAAAAAGTTTTTTCAACAACTTTTTCCTTGAGTACGTTAACAATGTCATAATAATTTTCGTCCAAAGCTGCTTCCAACAAAATCAAACAGTTGGAAGTGTCTTCGATACCACACTTCAAAAGTAAATTCCAAAATAAAGTTACAACACCCGAAAAAAAAACCCTTACATTTGGCTTACATTTGGCTTACATTTGGCGCGCGTTAAGAGAAACTGGGGAAAGCAGGCATTCAGCTACCATGCTGTAAACAACTGGAACAGTTTACCTGTTTAACTCCGGAAAACAGAACAATTTACATCTTTTAAAATCAAATTTACTTATAATACTAGAAAATCATTTGTCACTCTCTACCGTGGTGATGGGACGCGCTAAGACATTACAAGCATTAACATTAATATCTTCATTATTATTATTATCAATACTATTTAGTATAATTACATAGATGATTATTGAAAATTCTCCACGCTGATTGGTTGCCAATGAGGTGATTATAACGCGATAATCACCTAAGCGATTTTCAAAATGGTGGCCGAAGTCGTTTTGTCAATTAAACGACGAAGAAATGTTAATTTTTTATTTTTTTTCAAATAATCACCTATCAAATTATACTAAAACAATTAATTATTCACCTTAGGCTCGGTTGATTATCCTGAATAAAAACCTCGACTTCGTCTCGGTTTTTATTCATCAATAATTACCTCGCCTTCGGCTTCGGCGAATAATTGTTAAATATTATATTTATTGGCTCAGGGCTAATGACATCCTGATTAAATATTGTAATTATTATTATTTAGTATCATTATTATTATTATTAAACGAGATTCAATGGCAATGGCTGCTCGGAGATGAGTGCGCAGTGACGTGTACTGCGCAAATACGTCCAGTTTTCCTTTGACGGCCTCACACACGAACAATTTTGTCCATGATTGACATGACCAGCTTTTGAACAAGGTTCCTTGTCAAGAAATAGATTGTCAATTTTTGCCGTACACACGAAAAAAAAAGATGTCAAGGAAAATGTGTCATGGAAAACTTGCTCGTTTGTACGGCGCATAATTTCAAGTTCGGATAAAATTTTGGGTTGGACATTATGATTGGTTGATTATGACAATAAAAGGCAATAAACGAAAGAAATAATCTTTTCAAAGAACTATTCATAAACACTGATCACTTTTGTTTCCGAAGTCAAATCAGAAAACGTGTTCATATTAGGTAGGTATACAGACCCAAATGGTTTTGACCCGAAATATAGATGATTTCCCGGCGTGTAGGTGACAGGATCATTCTAATTGTTACCAGGTCGGGTTTACTGTGGAGTTGGGGGAGGTAAACTTTGGCGCGGGGAGATATCCTTATCCAATCTATTTTTTGGACTTGGGAAGGCAATTACGAATACAGAAAAAATAGAAACAAAATGAAACAGTTAAAAACAGTTTGGTTTTTAACCTGTTGTTGAAGGGGCAAAGGACCACCCAAGTATCACTGGAATTTCTTTCAAAATCCTTACTATGGAAATAGGAGGGATCTTCGTTGAAAATAGTATGGAAATCCAATTTTCATGCTAATTGCAATTTCCATACAATGGATATAGTATGGGAATAGCGTGGATATACTATGAATTCAGTGATGCAATCGCAAAATTCATTGTATGGATTTCAATATTTTTCCCAGTGCATGTATTTTATAGAAAAATAACACTGCCTGGCTACTCCCAGCAACCCAAGTATGTCTGGGAGAAAACATTCTCGTTAAAACGTTCACATGGAGCAATTTAATTAATACAAAGTTTAAGATACCCTTATTTCTATAATACATTTTTATGAGTATGTATTGTAATATGCAAAAATCATAATTACGAACATCAAGTTCATTTTGCATGTACGTCAATGCTGAATCACGATGCTTGTGATGTTGTCCTGAGTGTATATCCACACCGGGCAAGCTTGCAAAATATGCCTGGCCACGGTGGGAATCGAACCTACGACCTTTGGAATACTAGGTCGGAAACTTAAAATTTTTAATTAAAAATTTCAAGTTTGTATGCTGTATATATTACATTTTACAAAAATCAATCAATAAATGCAATTTTCTGAAGTGCTTAACGCTATCAGCATTACAATTTGCATAACTATTTGTTCAATCTGTTCCAAGTACAATTCTCATTTAATACAATACGTTACTATACGATACGGCACAACACGTCTAGCGATCATTTACTTCGCTCCTGCTTTCAGGAGACTGCCGATAATTGAAGCTTGAACAACATTACTACATTTACGAAAGAAATCAGCAGAAATGATGTTGGCTTTCTCGCAGAAAGCAGACCCACCAAAATACCACAGTGTTATAGTAGGATCAGTATTAGAGGCATTCTTATTGGGAGGATGGAGGGCACTACTTTCCATGAATGAGCAAGAAGCCCATAAACCAGTAGGAGGATTCTCCATATCTTTCTTGATAGCATTATATAATTTGGTTTTACTGTCAGCATGTGAATACCAGCGTTGATTCACTCCTGGCCACATATAGCTGTCAGGATTACTTGTGTTCCACGCGACAACCACTCTTTTCTTGCCACAGGTTTGCCATATCTCTTGAAGAGGTTTCCCTTGCCCATTCTGAACAGAAAGAATGTAGCCATTTAACTGAGAACATATCTGAGCTTTGAGTTTGTCATAATCATAACTCTTATCACCAAGCTTGTCAAACCGATGGAAATCCAGGATAACAATTTCTTTGTCTGTGGCGTCCACGAAATCCGTGACTTCTTTCAGAGCTGCCGCAAGTGTATAACTTGTACGCCATATATCGTGAACAATGAGATAATCTCCTGAAGAAATTTGCCCAATGCGTAAGTCCAAAACACGGATACCGAACTGTAGTTGTTGGATAAGAGGAAGAGACTGTGTTCTGATCCACCGAGCACCTATACCACACTTTGGGTTGTATGTCCCTGCATCATGTGTGCCAGGGAGGGTCATTTCCGTTAAAGTAAGCTTTCCCAAGACATCGCTGTAATAATCCATCCATTTTTCGTACAGAAATGTCTGAGGATACGGCAAGGTGCTGTTTTCATTAACAATCGAGTCACTTCCAGGAAGAACAGTTGACACGGTATTTTTAACTGCCTTCTCCATTATAAGCAGAGACAAGGATCCGTTGTGAAACCAGCCTAATTCACCAATGGTTTCGCCCTGAGGTGGTGGTGGAAACACTGCGTATCTACCTGCAGATTTTAGACCACTCCAGTCGACCTTTAGACCACATTCGCCACTTTTATAGGGGTATCGGACTTGCAACTGGAAACTGGCACTTGTACCATCAAGTTGAAAAGTAGCTTCCCCTGCATCATCGCTGCTCTTGACTACGGTTTGATTGTATTCAATGTAAAACCTCTCCATTGACTGTGCAGATATATTCTTAAATGCCCAGGTATTCATTTGGTAGCTATGCTGGTAAGTCAGCTTGAGAGTTGTGCTAGTAGCATTGACAAGCCATAAATATCCTCCCATACCCATGACGAGTTTGGTGTTGTAACAAACAGGACAACCTAAATGCAAACGCTTGTGTTAACCCAATTCACGATTTCAGATAACTCTCATGCCTATAGTTACTATTATACTACTTTGAAGTGTAGGTAGTGCCATGGATTGTAAAATAACTGGATAGGAAACTTCCTGACGTCACAGTCTAAACCTAGTTCCAATCTGTGACGTCACGTGTATTGCCAAAGTTCTCAGCATTTTTGTTGTTTCGTTATATTTTCCGCTTTAAAAGAGTAATATTGAAGCATAAACTGGTCTAATTGTTTTAAAAACATGCCTAAGCCACGACAAAGTATTCAAGGTAAATGTTTTTCGTCTTTGTTTTGTATTTTTTACATTTGTAGCTACGAAATTGGCGTCGCCAATTTTTACGAAATTTGCGATGCATTTTTCAACCGGGAATACTTAGAGATTTCATCGTAGAATGGCCAAGTTATATCGATTTGCTCTTTGACTAAAATGTTTAGCTGTATTATCGCTAAACATGCCGTTTTTGAGATTTTGGTTTGCAACTAGGTTTCAACGCCATCATCCCATTGAAAACATTAGATCTTGTCAGCTAGTTTCCTACCCATGTATTTTATCCATGGTAGTACCAATAATAAGAAATTCTCTACAGTGGAAATCTTGTTATAAAATTTTTGCTTTTAAAAAGATCACACTGTAAAGAATTTTATTAAAGGTTCTCAATAGTTCAAGGACATCATGCTCTATTGATATATGAAATAAAAAAGATGGGTCACCAGATTCATTTTTCAGACAAAGATAATTTTATAATAGTTTTGTTTGTGGAAACACCACGTAAATTTATTACTGCAAAGCTTTCGATCCGTAAGCCCGGATCTTCATCAGTGCTAATAATATATGACTTGCTCAATTCACGCGCCCTTAATTTTAGCACTGATGAAGATCCGGGCTTACGGATCGAAAGCTTTGCAGTAATAAATTTACGTGGTGTTTCCACAAACAAAACTATTATATGTTTTATCGCCATGCAAACGTACAAAGAAAAGATAATTTTGTGGCCAGTTTTATAGCTTCGCCGTGTTCTAAATATTCCACTGATGTTAGATATTGCCTCCAAGTAGAAAACGGAATGCAGGATCTGCATTAATATAGGCTTGTACTGCAGAGAGGTTGGGTAAATAGAGACAACTGTAAGGAGCCACCTTAAGGGAATATATATTTTCAAATTTAAAGCGATGCGGAAACTAATGGTTCTTTGAGGAGGGCCCCCTATACTTTTTGCGTGAAGCGTGAAGGGCTTGTTTTAATACTTAGCCGTGAAACGTGATCAGGCCCCCTATACTTTTTGCGTGAAGCGTGAAGGGCTTATTTTACTTAGCCGTGAAACGTGATTGATGATTTTCTTAATCCGTGACTCGTGAAAAGGCAAAATATTTTTACGTGAAAGCATATTGTGAAGAGGTATAGGGGGCCCTCTTTGAGCAATTTTTGCATATTCAAATGTTTGAACAGCTGAATACTTTGATATCATGATATGCATATTTTAATTCTTCCAGTCACAGCTGCATAATATTTATGTAGTTCAACTGCAATTTATCTCGACGTGCATGCAGTGAAACACCGAATATAGGCTTATTCAGTCGTATGTATGTATGTATGTATGTATGTGTGTGCTCTGCTCATGTTCCATCAAAATGATCAGAGTAAATCAAGACTCTAACTAATAACAAATGTTGAACCTTGAACGTTGTGCAATTGTCTTGTGTTGCCCCATGATCACAGACTAAACAATTATAAAGAAAGAAAACTCACTTTAAAATATCACACCATATTGCGACATTCGAGTTACTCAGTAAGAACACCAGAAATGACTCCAGTGTAGGTTGAAGCCGTCTATTTCACATCGATCGGTGGTTTATAATCTACTTTGTTGGTCGTAATTATTTTTTAAATAGCAACTTCCTGGTACACGAGATAGTCACGAGTCAGAGGTCACGAGTTATATTCGACTGTCACGAGTTCTACTTACGCAACTATTTACGCTTATAACAGAAATATGCGTAGGCGGACTGCGAACATATACAGATTATATGTACAGGATGCATAAAAAAACCTGCAAACACTATAATTTGCATCGAATGGGTCAACTATTGTGTTTACGCACGCTTTGGATCAATTAGTTCTGAATCATGCAAATTCTGAAAACATTGCATTTCAAAGGCTTGCAGGTTTTTTGATACACCCTGTACAGGGCGTATAAAAAAACGCAACCTCGGAATTTCCCAAGAAATCGACATTGTTTTAAGGACAAAAGATTTTAGGTGCCTGGGAATTTAAAATAGCACAAGTAACAACTGTCAAAATTACTGCACACGCGAGTGCATAAAGCAAAATTTATGCATTTAATGACACTTAATACGTTGTTATTTTACAAACACAATACAACAACAGTAATATGATCTATTGGCAATTCGATTTCAATTCACAGGGGCTTAAAATCTTTTATGCTTAAGAATTGCAAAGTGGATTTCTTAGGAAATTCCGAGGTTGCGTTTTTTTTATACACCCTGTATATTTCCCCTCTCAGTGTGTGCCGTAGTACTATTTAACGGTAGGGTTTAGTAAGATGCAATCATTCAAAATTCTATTCGTATCGTAATTTGTAGCTCACTAACTATAATTTTGATACTGAGACCGATGGAATTAGATTCAAATACATAACTCGTGCGAAGTAAAAATTGGCGGGAGTAAAAATTATGCAATATTATGTACCATAATTTTTACCATAAATGACCGCAATTATCATCTTAATTCTTCACTAAAACATTTGTGGCACATTTTTATTGGATTTTAATTATTTTTATGGTTGTTTTGTATTTAATTCACTATATTCGGTATTTTGGTGTCATATAACACAGATATGAAATAATGAATGTTATTCGTGCAATAGTAAAACTATTTTCTTTCGGTGAAAGATGAAATTTTACATCTTTCACATCATGAAAATATTTTTACCATTGCGCTCATAAACATTTGTATAACAACCATCTTAATATAGATACATTCAAACAAACGCATATATTGCATCACTGGATAGCTATAAATATACTGATTCTGGCCAGAACACGCCCTTCTTGCTTAGTTTCACGGCCCACCCAGAATACACCCTTCCCCCACACCCTCTTCAATACCCTGCCCCAGCCTATCTGAAACCACGCTGATCAAAATTTACTCATGCCAGTCTTTATTCTAAGCTCAGCAAGAAACAGATCGTTAGGAAATAGGTTGCTAACAACTAAATGTTCGTTTACCACCCAAATATTTTATCAGCATTATTTCATTCATTATATTTTTCTTATTTATTATATATTAATTGTTATTTACTTGTCTCCGTTCGAGTGTTTTTGATATTCGTTATTGGTATTATTGAGTAGTATATGAGATAATTAATTGTATGTTTTTAGCGAATTTGTATTTCCTTTGTGCTATCACTGGTCCATCTTTAAATCTTGAACTTTTCTCGAACAACATCTGAAAAAAAATACTCGGTTATTTACATATGAAAGTATATACCATGCATATACTCTGAAATGCGAGATTTGCCTTATTTAGTAGGGGACTAGTAGTTACCCGGCTGCACCATGTAAACAGTCACTCGCGGGATTACTATAAGTTTCTACAATAGCTGGGATCTCACCGTTGCAGCGGAGTAACTGGTCATCTTGCCGGGTAACTCGCATCCACATAAACAGGCCCTTAAGCATGCATAGGGACGACCAAGAGAGACGACCAAGTTTTCATATGGCAAGGTTTATTTGCTAGCAACCCATGTGTACGTCCAGCAAACGGATCAAAGTGCTCAAATTACCTTGTCAAAAACTTTAAAACATCGGGGACTCTAGATTTCACCCCCTCCCCTATATAGAGGTGTCTCCCACCTTCTGCTTATTATAGTATTTATAAAATAACCTTTTAATAACGCCTGCGCTGATTGGCTGAAAAGCGAAAAATCCCGTGTTTTTATAACGCTATAGAATACGGGAATTTTCCACGAACCTCAAAACAACACACTAAAACAAACGTTTTCGCCTGAAATATCGATTAAAAATCTTCGTCAACCTGAAATTTTGTTAAACAAGCAATGGAAAACACTTACCAAACGTTTTTTCGCTTTAAATTTTCTTTAAATCAACTTTTTCAGCGTGTTTTTTCCATAATTTTGCAGTCGGCAAAACTGAAAATTGATGCCGGTATTGTTGCTAGGCAACATTTTCTTGTTATTGTGTAATGAGAATATACTTTTTAATCGCGTTAAAAATATTGTTTTTGTGTTATTATCACAAGGTTATTTAATAAAGGAAATAGAAAACATTTTTTCCTGTGTTTCTATAGAGTTATAGAAACACTTGTGCTAGTTTGGGAGAACTCGAAATAACGTGGAAACACTCGCACTACGTACGTGCTCGTGTTCCCACTGATTATTTCTCGTTCTCCTAACCTAGCACGCGTGTTTCTATAACTCTATAGAAACTCGGAAAATGTTTTCTATTTCTTAAATTAAATATTTATTTATTTATTTTATTTACCCAAAAACAGGAAGGGCGCACCCCGCACAGAGCCGAAGCTCCAATAACGGGTTCCACTCGTGAGTTGTAAAATACATGGAAATATTGTATACAAAGAGTTAAACACTAAATAGTGCATCAACAAAAAACAAGAAAAGTCATCACACAATATAAAGAAAGGGTACTAGCAGCACAAAGTGTCACTTAGTGAATCCAAAGGACGGGCTTTGTGACATTTGACACAAACAGTCTTGTATGTGTGCGGCAATTCTGGGTTATAGCCTAAACATATTAGAAGTTAATAAAAAATAGTCAACGTTTAAACGAAGACAAAGTTAAGTTTCTTAAAGATATTGGCACAATGTTCCACGTTCTGCATGCTCTGATATAAAAACTGTTTCGAAAGGTTACTGTTTTTGATTTGGTAATCTGAAGAAGGAGTTCTGATGTATAGCTAGAGCGTCTGGTTACACGACTTGGTGAATTTAGTTTCACATTTTTGTCGGAATTTTCATAAATACATTTGAATAGATAAACAAGATCCGGGTATTCATGCCAGTAGGTAATTGGAAGAATGTTGAGCTTAGCAAGTCTTTTAGGGTATGAAATATCTGTTTGAAATGGAAGAGATAAAATAAACTTCGTGCTGCGACGCTGAACTCGTTCCAGGGTTTGAATGTCATAGGTGGTTTGGGGTGCCCACACTTGGCTACAGTAACCAAGCTTGCTTCTTACTATAGGGTTAGATACAAGGTCTCTCGTACTTTAGGGTCACTTGCATGAAAACACGATCTTTTCACGAACCCCAACATTTTGTTGGCTTTATTTGAAACCGCTTGGACATTCAGGCTCCATTTGAGATCTTTAGAGACTATAACACCAAGATCTTTTTGTTCGTTGATTGTTTTAATTAAGTTGCAAATATATATAGTTGCAAATGTATATAGTCCGACACTCCGGACCGTAGTTACGGCCGGTTGCTACGTCCCCGCCGTAAGACAATAATATAATTTACGAATTCCCGTGATTTTCACTCATTTCGGATTTTATTCGCTGAGATCTAACCCAATTCCATAGCAAACCCGGCAAGGCTCATTGAATTCTTAATTTTTTTAACGTTTGTAGGAATGCTGACCTCCTTTGGGAATTAAATTCACTTGATTAACATGCATACATTAACAATATCATAATAATAAACACGCCCATTGTGCTTTTCGTCCTTATAGGTCTAAGTTTTACGGTTTTCAGAGGACAACCGGTACTGAATTAGCTGTGTCAGGGCATTTTTAACTATATAACTGGGGGGGGGGCAAAGCCACCCCTCCCCAGCCTCATGGTGGCCCCCACTCAACCATTTTGGCCCCCCAGTCAAAGTCCCTTTTCTCTAAAATATAAGCAAAACATTGAATTTAGAAGGGAGGTTTGATATTCTAGTAACTGAAATTTGCTTTGTGAATCTTATGTCCTGTCTTTTATCTTTAATGCTAAACATTGTGTTGTAAATACCTTATTAGATTTTACACATTTTCCAGTGGATGGCATATCCCAGACCCTATAGATTTGAGTTGTTGGAAGGGTCGGCTAAACACGTTAGTGACCGCAGGGGGCAACGGGCCCCCAACCCAGTTTTTATAAGGGGGGGGGGGAATAATTTTGGCCCCCATAAAAAAAACCCAATTGATTTCGAAACTAGAAGTATTTGAAATCGTATATATATATAATCAAATACATGTAATTGATATTTTGATAACAACATTTCTCGTGATAATTCGTCCTGACTCGCGGATAGCATAGACTCACAAATCATAATGAACGAATTAATGAAAGGGCCTAACAAAAGAGGTAGAGAAGACTTTGAAAATGCCATTTCCGACAATTTAGAGACGCAAA